TCCCTAGCTCCTGTGAATATTTTATGTGGCAAATGGGACTCTGTGAATATTAATTAAAGTTACAGATTTAAAATAGGGAGATTATCCTGGATCACCTGGGTGAGCCCAATCTAATCACGTGAGCCCTAAAAGCAGAGAAATTTCTCTGGTTGGAGTAAGGGAGACACAGCGGAAGAGGAAGTAAGAGAGATTCCCAGGGAGAGGAGGAATCAATGCACCATTGCTGGCTCTGAGATGTAGGGGACACAGTTGAAAACTGGTACGAAGACTCTAGAAGTTAAGAATGATTCCTAGCTGACAGTCACCAAGGAAACAAGGACATTAGTCCTATAACCACAAGGAACTGGATTCTACCAACAACCTGCCTGATCTTGGAAGGAGATTCTTTCCAGAGCTTCCAGATAAGAGCCCAGAAAGTCAATACCTTGATGTCGGCCTTGAGAAGCCCAGAGCGAAGAAAACAACCAAGCCAGTCCAGACATCTGACTCATAAAATTGCCAGGTAATCCGTTTGTGTTAAATTACTATATTTGTGCTTATTCACTATAGTAGCAACAGGAAACTAATAAAAACAGTAACCATAATCTAGGGTAATCCTATACTGTAAAGCTGGAAGCACACCAGACAATATATATCAGCACTATGGGTGCTGTGTAGTATACTAAATAAAAAAGCAAATTGGGGCCTATGCAGTAAAAAGACAGTGGCATATCTATAATTCAGCATTCTACATGGTTCAATATAGGGTATAATCCTCCAGTCACTGTATTTTGTATTTTGATTTAGCAAGAAGCAATAGAACAGTAAATTGACTTAGTTTATATAAAATATACAGTGTTTGGTAGCTTATACACAAAATAATAATGTAGCAGGCCAGGTGCAGTGGCTCAAGCCTGTAATCCCAGCACTTTGGGAAGCCAAGGCAGGCAGATCACTTGAAGTCAGGAGTTTGAGACCAGCCGGGCCAACATGGCGAAACCCCGCCTTACTAAAAAACACGTTAAAAAAAAAATTAGCTGGACATGGTGGCGCTTGCCTGTAGTCCCAGCTATTCAGGAGGCTGAGGCAGGAAGACGTATGAGCCCAGGAGGTGGAGGTTGCAGTGATCCCAGATTGTGCCACTGCACTCCAGCCTGGGCTACAGAGACCCTTTCTCAAAAAAAAAAAAATTAAATTTTTTAAAGGAAGCTCAAAACGGACATACTCTTTTAATTCTTATCGGTAACTTTAGTATGCTGATGATTATAAATGTAAAACAAAAACACCTGGAACAAATACTAAACATGCCAGTCTCAGAACTTTCTTTTCCAGATGGTAACTGTAAGCATTTTTTTTAGGCACTCTAGCAAACAAGCCAGCTGTCTCTGTTCAAAATAACTATAGTTCAAAAGTGGAAATGGCCTTGACACCCCTGCTCCACTCCCTCTGACTAGAATGCTTCACTACAAGAAAAATGGGTCAAAATCAATTGAAGTCATCTTCAAGAAGTCAGTCAAATTTTTTTACTCTGTCAAATACCACTTCAAATGAATCGGTCATCAGTAAAGGTTCAAAATTATTTTCTGTATATAAATATTGTTATAACGTTATTCCTTATAAAGAATATAAGGACATGTTTTAATAACTGTGATAATTTTTAAAAGCTTCTTTGTTTTATTCACATCTCACTAAAACAACTCTATCAGTAGAGAGGATTAGAAGGTTATTTTATATAAATGATATCAGGAGTTATCAGGTATTAAAAATTGTTTGAGAATGATTATAACATTAAGCACGGCTAAACACCATACTGTATTTTCACTTACATGTCCAAACTAAACAAGTTCCTTGCAGAAACCGCTTGCCGCCAAATGTAACCTTCAATTCCAACACTTAAAGTAACTTGCAGCCCAATAAACCTTTGGCACTTCTGCGCTGTTTTCTCCCTTTAACCTCTTCAATTTCATTAACAGAGGCTTTACCTTGGGTGGTGATTGCTGCTGTCTGTTGGCACTTCCTGAATGCTGCAGTCTTAGAGCCCGGGGGATAAATTCAGGTGCCAGTGGATTCAACACGTATGTCTTCTTTAGTTCTAAAGCCTCTAACTGAGCTTTGATCTGTTCGAAAGTGATTCCATGTAGGCTATTGTTTTCATGACACAGGGCAATAAACCGTTCCCAAAATTTCCTGCAGAAAGGATTTAGAAGATAAGTTTACAATTCAATGGATGAGATCACAGAATGTAAGTAACTAAAGATAATTTCATATTCCACCCCAACCCCAAATCCTTAAACCCAACAGTCATCTGACTATGATTGAGATACAATCTTTCTACCAGATCACAAGACTCTGGAAGTTTGATTTTGAAAGTATAGTCATACCTTGTATTATAGTACATATAAAACAGGCTCTCCATTAATTTTGGTTCATCAATGCAAGTAATATGGTCAATGCTCACCTATCCACACTAATTCAAAACGATGTTTTTTCTTACCCACAGAAGATTTCCAAACTGATGCCAACTCATTCCAAAGAAAATATGTACTCTAGGCATACTTACTACATACATATATATATGTACTATATATATAATTCAACATAACGAATATAATTTATATACATATGCATACATACATATACATGTAGATATACATATATATACACACACATATACACACGTCTTTCTGTGTGTGTGTGTGTGTGTGTGTGTGTGTGTGTGTGTGTGTGTGTATTTGAATTATAAGGCCAAAGTAGCCCAGTGCTAGATGACTAAGAAAAGCCAACATAGGACATAAATTTGAGCCACAAAGTAGATAATCTTTATGAGGATTCTTAAGAAATAACCAGCTATCCCATATTTTTCTCTTAATTAATAGATGCTTGTCACAAGCACAGCTTACACTATGTGTTAAATGAATTATGAAAAATATAGGAAGTTGGAATACTAATTTTAATGTTATTTATTTCTTAATCAAATTAGTAAGTACTAAAGGAGAAAAATACATTCAAAACTTGTTGCATTTGTATGCTGTTGTTCCTAGAGGTTTGAAAATTGATTTCTAAATATTAAAATTATTAAATACATGTTACAAAAGACAACATAAAAAGTTTTTACATTTTAAATGACTATTATAAATACGCATACCTATGTTTAAAAGAGAGGTTCAAATAATGTTTTATTATGCTATAAAAGATATGTGACATGGTTTCTTCCCAAGTTGATATTCTTGTGTCCACGTGGACAGCAGGTAATCAAGTTGGCTTAAAGAAGCGTAAATGAAAAGGTTTATATTATAAAAGTTAGTATATGAATGGGAATTGGGTTATTAATATATTCATAAAACTTTGCAGAGTTTAATTTCGTACTATGCTTCTCTTACATATGCCTTCTATCCATCTTTCCTAGTTTCTTGAAGTTGAGTTTAAGGAATGAATCGAGATACTGGAGATTCAGAAGGCAGGAGGGTGGGAGGGGGTAAGGAATGAAAAACTATCTGTTGGGTACAATCTACACTATTCAGGTGAGGGGAACACTAAGCCCAGACTTGATTACTATACAACTTATCCATGTAACCAAAAACCACTTGTACCTATAAAGCTGTTGAAAAAAAAAATTTAATAAAGTAAAAAATTTTAAATGGAATAAACAAAAAATAAAGAACTTAGTTCAGAAAAAATTTTAGACCTAAACAACAGAAAAAGTAAAAATGAAACTTAAATACGTACTTCTGACCAGAAGGCTAGGGCTAACAAGACATCACACAGTTGCTGGAAATGTGTGTTGCCAAGAAACGCACACTGAAAAGCTGTCCTTTATTTTTAAGAATCCCACTGAGGAATTATGCTTTTTTTCTCATCATAACATGAGAAAACAGAAGAAAGGACTATCTTATACAGCACTCAGGATCTAAAATCCAGCAACTTTCCCACCCTTTAATAAGAACAGCCACAATATTCAACTGCATGAATACAATACAATTCTACTACATACTATATTCAAAAGAAAGTTCTTTTTAGTCTAATTGATAAAGTATCAGTTTCATAGAGCAGCAGTTCATGTTTGTGTTGGACTTCAAAACAAAGCAAAACACCAAGAAGAATGGATTGACTTTTACTCTGCCTAGTTCAGTTTTTTGTTTTGTTTAGAGACAGGGTCATGCTCTGTCACTCAGACTAAAGTGCAGGAAGGCAGTGGCACGATCTTAGCTCACTGTAACCTTGAACTCCTTGGCTAAAGCCTCCCACCTCAGCCTCCAGAGCAGCTGAGACTAACGGTGTGTGCCACCACACCTGGCTAATTTTTTTAATTTTTTTTTTTTTATAGAGATGGGGTCTTGCTATGATGCTAGGGCTACTTCAAACTCCTGGCCTCAAGTAATCCTCCCTCCTTGGCCTCTCAAAGTGTTAAGATTATGGGCAGGAGCTACTGCACCCAGCCTTTATCTCAATTTTTAATATCAACTTCTTATTACATTTTTCATTTCCAGCTTACATAGCCAAAATGCTAGAACTTGCTCTATTTTTAAGATACCTTTAAAAATTCCATACCCTGTTCCTGTATCACCTCACTGACCTTGACTGCAATGAACAGAATTTGAAGTAACACTGAGTTAAGCAGAATCTTCAAACAACCTCACACTTCACAAAAAACTAGAGACAGTCTGCCTGCAAGAAGATTCCAGGGATTTCAAAGAAGTAGTCTTCGAGTTAAAGTATATCAATTTAGAAGTAATATTAAGTACTTACTATAAGTTAATCAAGTTAAACTGGTTCCAAAAGTGACCTGAAATTTCCATGTTAAATCTGACTCTTGTTTTTTCTGGCACATGGATATAACAAAATGGTAAAGTATATGCTAGAACTAGCCTGAAATCTTGACTCTGTCATTCAGTAGCTGTGTGAGCTTCTGCAGATTACGTAAGCTCTTTATACCTCAGTTTCCTCATGTGCAAAGTGGGCACCAGCACTACTATTATATCATTCCTTATTATTGAAAAGACATTTGTGTCTCACCTCTACACTTGCAGGGAAATGCTTCTTTCCTTCACAAATTCCTAGTTTTAAAGCAAAACTTTTTCCTTTTTTCTCTTTACGTTGGCCCTTCAACTCCCCAATATCTTACCGAAGTACAATATATAAAATTATGAATCATTTCTGAATATAACTGAAAGATCATGTTAGAATGAGGACAAGAATTCACCATTATGGTTATCTAAAGGCTTCATCAATTCTCAGCCACCTCCCTAAAATGTTAACATAATATCCTGTCAACCATTTTTTTAGTACTAGTGGTTTAAAAACCCAAGTGTGTATTACACTGTAATATAATTTTACGCATTTCAAAGGATGTAACCTTATTTTTAATCACTGCCTGAACAACACAAAGTATGGTTTTCTTTCTGTTAACCTTACTTCTAGGATCACTGATAAAACACTAAAAAAATCACTTGGTCACTGTGTGTGTGTGTGTGTGTGTGTGTGTGTGTGTGTGTACCCTTAGGTTACAGAGTGTACGTGTGTGTACACATATACATACACCTCTACACATACATGAAATATGTTTATATTTCACAGAGTAAATCAAATGTGCCAATGAAGAAACTCAGCTTGAGAGAAGACCTTCTCCAAACGCCTGGGTTTGAAGAAATGTCATCACTCTCCTCTTAGCCTCCTGCCATTCCATGCAGATTTATCTGAGCGTATCCATCACTTCTGGGAAAGGTAGCATAACCAGAGAGAAGAACGTGGGTTTTGAAGTCAATCTGACATCTGTTTGAGTGAACCACATAATAGCTATGTGACCCTGGGCAACTGAAACTCTCTGAATCAGGCTGCCCATCTAAAATGCAAATAAAATGCCCACATTACAGGGTTGTTAGGAGGATGGTTTATGTGTGCAAAGCACATAAACCAGCACCTGGCACAAAGAAAGCTGTCAATAAACAGCAGCCACTCTATTAATACTTGTTAGATTGGCGAGAGAGAGAGGGAGGATCTTCACTATATCCATTTCGGATTAACAGAAAAAAATCTGTTTAAAAATACAACAAAAAAGAATATAGAACTGATTGGCTTCTGAACTGGTATAATATACACAGTAAGTATTCCTTAAAAACTTGACCGATATTTGAGAATATATTAGTTTTTCTGAAAATATTAAATGAAAAAAGCAGGAGAACAGTCCTAAAGAACTCAAACTACAAAGAACTCACTCTTCCATTTTCCAGGACCCAAGAATCATGTTATGTCCTCTGAGTTTACTTGTATTGTGAGATTAAATTAACATAAAATTAAATTAGTGAGATTAAAGCTTAAATATCCATATGTCCCAACTATCAATTCTTGGGCTATAGCCATAATTAAACTGGACAAATAAAGCAGATAATCAACTCTGCCATGTAACTATGGAATTTACGATTTTTTTTCACTTAACACAATATATTTACTTCCCTGAAAATATTCTGCTTAGCTTATCAATTAATGTGTATTCCTTGACACTTCCCAGCTGAGCAGTAAGAAACAGGCAACAGTAGAGTCAGCTTTGAAGTTAAAAATTAGCCCTAGATAATTCTGAGAGCACGGTGTCAGGAAGAATTATTCACCCATTTGCTCTAAGAATAAGTAATGATTTCTGTCATAGAGTGGACAAAAAATGCTGATCTCATGCAATTCACAGTATAATATGACTCTATAAGAAAGGTGTAATGGTTTCTGTAAAAATATTCAGGTTGGTAAATATATTTGGAGTTATTTATAAAAAGAGCCCAAAACTAAGGTGGCTTAACACTATTCTTTTTAAAATTTTCTTTGAGACAGCGTCTTGCTCTGTTACCCAGGCTGGAGTGCAGTGGTGTGATCATTACAGCCTCAACCTCCTGGGCTCAAATGATCCTCCCACTTTAGCCTCCTCAGTAGCTGCCACCATAGGCACATGCCACCATACCCAGTTAAATTTTGTAATTTTTGTAGGGACAATGTTTTCCCATGTTGCCCAGGCTGGTCTCAAACTCCTGAGCTCAAGCAATCTGCCCATGTGGGCCTCTCAGAGTGCTGGAATTACAGGTGTGGGCCACCGCACCTGGCCAGAACCCTATTCTTATATCCATTTATTCCCCTAATAGTTTCTAGCTGTTTTCAACATGTCCCAATCTATATATGTGCTTTAATATATTACATTCTAATCAAATTGTATGTGCTGTCTCACTTATCAAATAATAAATATAAGCAAAAATGGTAAAATACCACAAGCAACATTCTAACAAAATATACTTTCAATGACTAGTAAAGTAAATAAAGTAAATTCTTAGGATAGAAGCCAAATTAGTAGACTCCTTGATATACTTGGTTCTTCTATTTGTTTGTAACTTAGAATTAAGATATTCTTGGCTGGGTGTGGTGGCTCACGCCTGTAATCCCAACACTTTGGGAGTATGAGGCAGGCGGATCACTTGAGGTTGGGAGTTCGAAACCAGCCTGGCCAACATGGAGAAATCCCATCTCTACTAAAAATACAAAAAAAAA